ACGTACCTACGTACGTGTATGTATGTATGTATGTATGTATGTATGTATGTATGTATGTATGTATGTATGTGTGTATGTGTGTATGTGTGTATGCATGCATGCATGCATGCATGCATGCATGTATTCAGTTTGTGTATGCATTCATATATGCATGTGCGTATCAATGTGCACATCATCAGTTTATATGCATATATATATATGTGTGTGTCTATGTGTGTATGTACATACACACAGACATATATATATATACATGTGTGTGTGTACACACACGCACATATATATATATATGTAGATACGTTATATTATATATAATGAAGCACGCTAGTTCCTGTCTGTCTCTGTGCGTGGACATGTACAGTCGTTAGACAAAGGGACATGTTTACATCATCTTCGTGACCGCTGCCCGAGTTGCGAACACCAGTATGTGCAATTGGGAAGCTTGGACATTGCCAGCACGTTTTGCACTGACACGAGCGGGCTCCTCCTGGCGCCCTCCCGTGCTTCCTTGATCGTGTTCGCTCGTATGCTTGGGCTGTCTTGTAGAACTGCTTGCTTGATTTCTTTGCATTGCGGTCCCTCGACCAATGTATGCCTACAGTCTCTTCCGCATTTTCGCCAGGCTCGTCCATAAAGTTCTCACCAGACAGTCGCTATCGTGCTTGGCAAGGTACCGTTTTTGCGTGGAATGCGGCATAGCCCACAGGCAACAATCTTTTTAAATCCTAAACCCTCAACGTAACTGCACTCGAGTCTGAAGCTTGTGATCTGCAGGTGTTCCGGTATTACGGTACCTTCAGCCGGACGTTCTTGACAATGTTTGAAATCCTCTTCGCGAAGCTTGGTTCAGGAAATACAGTGCGTCCTGTCGTATCCACACTTTACTTTGCCGTTTTCGGGCCAGAATCTCTTCGCCGCTGCGGGACCTGTAGACAAACAGGGTAGGGCAGGGCAGGGCAAGCAGGCAGCTTCAACTGTGCTTGGTGGCTAAGAACAGGAATGTGTGTGCCGTTCTTGCAGTAGGGATTTCGCAACCAAGGAATTGGGGGCCACCATGTCGAGTTCTGGTGGATCAGTACAGCGAGTGGTTCACGCTGTTTTTCCTCACTTATCGCTGTGTCCTGGGATTTGCGGTTCCTCGGTTGGCAGTAGCAGTCGAAACAAGGAGTCGCTCAACCAGCACCAGCTGTGATAGTTTGTGCCTCAAGCTATCTCGTCGTTAAAAGACACAATTACCAGCTTTATCTTGCTCTTGGCATTCTGGTCTGCCAGCAATTGACTCCTGTGCAGTGCTGGGTGACGGAGGAAGTTTGGCACAAGACCTCGTTTGCACCTTCCTGCAAGGTCCTCAATGTCGTCAATGCAGTTTTCGTTCAACAGACGATGAAGACCGCCAGCTGTGATGAAGAGCTTGCTTTCAAGCAGAAGGAGAAGGACGACGATTGGGATGACGAAGATGGAAGTCCCACTGCTATCCATGCATTTTGTCTTGTGCCATGTGCTGAGCTGGTGGCTCTTGTATGTCAGGACACAGCATCCTACATCAGAAAAGTTAAGCATCCTGGCCATCTTCATCATGTTCCTGCACGGTAGCCAGCCTCTGAAAACCCCCAAAAAACCCTAAACACCGTGCAGCCGAGGAAGCTTTTCCAAACAGTGGATGCATCAGGAGATGGTGCGATCAACCTGCAGGATGCATGACGGCGGTTTACGGCCACACCTGAACTACTATAGGGGCCTTAATAATTAAAACAGGGTTTAAGGTTCCATTATGCTATGCTTATAAGGAACCCCCAAATGGTTTTGGTAATTATTTAGGCCTCTACATTAAATTGAGTAGTGGTCACGGCCAACCATCCGGGCATTGCGTAATGCTGCGTGATTTTCACCCCTGCCCTTCCAAACAGCGACCGTAGTATTGGTGGGTTGCAAGCAGGTAGCTCGTTCAGGGTTCCTTAGCCTTTTCCCCGAACCCCTAAACCCAAAGCCCTCAACCCTAGGCCCGAACCCCTAAACCCAAAGCCCTCAACCCTAACCTTAGGCCCTAAACCCTAAGGCCCAAACCCCAAACCCTCAACCCGAAATCCTAGTTGAGGGCTCGAGCCTTCCCTCAGGACCGAGGGTTCTGACTCTAGGATTCAGACTGCTCGTGATAGCCCGAAACTCCAAAGTCGGGTGTGTGCAAGGAGTTTAGGGTTTAGGATTTAGGGGTTAGGGTTTAGGGGTTTAGGGGTTTAGGGGTTTAGGGTTTAGGGGTTTAGGGTTTAGGGGTTTAGGGTTTAGGGTGTCCTCAGATGTTCGCCAGCGATTTCTCCCCAGTAGGGAGGGGCTTCCGGCTGTGCGACTGTGCCATTCCTTATGGGATGTATGGGAGACCGAGACGGCCCAAGCCTCTAGACTCTAAGCTCTACTATTATTTCTTGTTGTTATGATTATGATTATGATTACGATTTTATGTTGGTTGTTAATTATTCTTATGATTATAACCTATTATTCCTATCACTATTTCCATCATTCTTACCACTACTGCATCACGTTGATTAGCATGTCTATCATGTTTACTATGATTACTAGCATTATCAGGTGTTTGGCAGCACCCTAGACTTTACCCTACACCCTAAACCCCCAACCCTAAACCGCTCTGTACATCGTGCTGAGGAGTTCTCCAAGCTCGTGCAGTCGCCGAAGCTCAAGCATCTCCACGTGAGTTAGCATGCTTCGGGCTTTTGGGGTTAGGGGTTTGGGGGTGTGGGGTTTAGGGTTCAGGGTTTTCGGGGTTTAGGGTCCAGGGTTTATGGTTTATGGTTTAACACGGTTCGCTACACGGACATATGCACCCCGAGCGTCAAGTAAAAGCAGCAAGGCATAGAAGAGAAGGTGCCCATACAATTCAATTCAACACCCAGGCTTGCCAGCAGGCGCAACGGTTAAAAGCGCGTTCAACTCTGAGTGAAGATGCTTACCCTGATAATGAACCCAAACCGGCTATAAACCCTAAACCCAAACCCTCTAAACCCTAAACCCTAAGCCCTACGCATAATTAAGCCCCAAACCCTAAACCCTAAAACCCTAAAGCCCTCAAGCCCTAAAGCCCTAAACCCAAACCCAAAACCCTAAAGCCCTAACACCCTAAACCCTAAAACCCTTAAAGTCCTAAAGCCCCAAAGCCCTATGAGGTGTTCGAATCCCAGTAAGTACTCAGAGGTGAGGCCCTCAGTGCCTTTCATCCTAGGTAGTATTAGGAAGACCCCTGAAAAGGGACCCCTTCTGAACCCTACTTCTGGCTCTCTTAAACGGGACCTTCTTGAGAGGGTCTATATCCCCAAGGGTCCCTAAACCCTAAACCCTAAACCCTAAACCCTAAACCCTAACTCCCATTTCAACCTTCACACCCTAAAGGGCCCAGGCGCCTGAGGATCCTGATTTCCTTCAGGGTTTCGGGCCTAAAGTGCCCTGAAACCACCCGAAAAAAGGCCTAAACCCGCAAGCCCTACTGTTGATGATATAAATCCTGCATTACCTTAAGGACCGTAAACTATGGGAATGATGGTATATTCCTTATTATGGGTAATGCAGGATTTTGATCATCAACCGTAGTTTAGGGTTCAGGGTTTGAGGCACAAACCACCGTTTTCCATCCCACACAACAGTCCTTTCTGACGGTTTTGGGTTCAGGGTTCAGGGTTTAGGGCTTAGGGTTTTGGGTTTAGGGTTTAGGGACCAGGGAGCCCGAAGGATAGGTCTAGAGAGCCCTGAAGCGCCAAATCCCTAAGACAAAGCCTTCGAGAAAAGCCCCATGGAGGCCTCTGGGTTCAAAGGGGCTGAGGGTTCAGGCAGGGCATTTAGGGGTTTAAGGCTTAGGGTTTAGGGCTTAGGGCTTAGGGTTTTTGGATGGATGTCAGAACTCGATGAGTGCACTCTGAGGGTTTAGGGTTTAGGGTTTAGGGCAAAACGGCTTTCGGATTACAGGTTTGAGCTTTAGGGTTCAGGTTCAGAGGTTTAGCTCGTGGCCTTAGAGGTGGGAGGTGCCCGTTTTAGGACTGAGGCTTTGCATGGGTTCTAGGATTGACCCCTAAACCCTAAACCCTAAACTCTAAGCCCTAAACCCTAAACCCTAAACCCTAAAACCGTTTTAGGACTGAGGCTTTGCATGGGTTCTAGGATTGACGATGTTCGAACTGACTGTCTGCTCCCGGGTGCATGCGTTTGTGCCCTGGTTCGCGGGTCTAGGTTTTAGGGTTTACCTGTAGCCGAGAAGACCTACCTGTTTGGGGGTTCATTATTACGGTTTCTATATATAGTTCCTTTATAATGGTAGGGTAGAGTCCAGTGTTTAGCATGTGCGATTTGGGGATGAAAGGTGTAGTGTAGTCTTACGGTGTTTCGAGTTGCTGTCAGTCTTCTCTGGCAACTCCAAGGGTCAGGATTATTCGGCAATCCGAATGCTGATGTTCTTCTCTTCGAAGTAAGTTGGCGGTGTCTTCCTGAAAACTCAAGGCTTTTCAAGCTCCAACACTGTGTAGTAGCATCGTCCATCCATCCCCTGATCTCAGGTTCTGGCTCTCGCAGTTGGAGTTGGAGTACCATGATATGCTGTCATTGTTTGAGCCACTCGTCGTGATCAAAGGCCATTTAGGCAGCGCTTAGTGCCCACACCATGAACGAGTTTTGTGGTGACCAGCCCAGAGACGGACCGCGTCATGTGGTCGGTGGCTTCAGGACCGCATACATAGCTGAGCTACAGTTTGCTTTTCCGTTCCCCTATCCATATAGTGTCCTAGAAAAAAGAACCCTGTGGAACCCTTTAATGGGGACCTTATTATAGAACCCTATAGTATCCTTTTAAAGGGGACCTTACTAAGAACCCTATAGTATCCTTTTCAATGGAGCGAAATCTCAGCCAAAACTCCTCCAGGGCTTCACCGAGGTTCTTGGACAATGGCGACGGTGAGATCACTCTCATGGAGTTTGTGGAGGGTGCTCCATGGCTTCGGAAAGAGCCCAAACCTCCTGAGTGATAATCCCGACCCTGAAACCACCAAATCTTCAAACGACCCATCATGATGATGGTGATGATGATGTTGGTGATGGTGATGGTGATGATGATGATGATGATGGTGATGGTGGTGATGATGGTGATGATGGCGCCGATGATGTTGTTGATGATGACCGTGATGATAGTCATGGTGGTGAGGATGATGATGATTCGGTGGTGTTGGCGATTGTGATGGCGATGGTGATGGTGATGGCTACGGTGCTCACGGCGTGACTTCGTGTCTTGGGTCCGGGCTTGGTGTGTTCCAGCATCATCGTCATCATCATCATCACCACCACGATCATCAGGAATCATCATCATCATCATCACCATCTTCACACACGTCGTCGACGTGGTCGTCATGTTTGACGTGGTTATCATCGTCATCGTCGACGCGGTCACAGTCGTCATCTTTGACGACGTCGTCGTCGTCGTCGTTTTCGTCGTCATCGTCATCGTTATCAACGTCACCGTGGTGATCATCATCATCACCACCATCATCTTCCTTCATTCTTCTAGGTCATTATCTAGGTTCCCCAGTAGTACCCTTTTGCCCTTTTTCTGTTGGGTTCCCTTCTTAAAACCACATAGTAGGAAAAAGGGCAACCCTTGTTATTAAGGGGCTACTGGGGAACCGAGTTATTAAAAACCCCCGCCAACTCGAAAGACCTTGAACCCCACGTCTCTCAGCGGCGCAAACCAAGGCTTCGCGCCTCCGCGGAAACGCCAAAACCTTGGACATATGGCGTGTCGAGACCAAACTCGAGGCTGTTCGGGCTTAGGGTTTAGGGCTCTAGGTTCCGAGGCCCCGAAGGACTCTGCCTTGGGTCCTAACCTTGGCCCTCAAAGCAGAAAGCCCTGAAGTCTGGACCAAAAGCTTGGGGTGTCGGGTTTGGTGAAGGATCTGGGCTTCTGATGCTAGGGCGTTGGGTTTAACATGGTTTAGCCGGCTGCGCATTTTCCAGGGTTCGATAAAGCATAGACATATGCTGTGCTCGGAGTTTACAGGGGCCGTTTGAGGGTGACCTGCTTGATTGACAAGTCATTGAGAGCCTTCTGTGTAGGTGGTCGTTTGGGCGTCTATTTTGTTTTTTTGGACGTTCGGGCTTGACGGCTTTGACACGTCAGGGTTCAGTGTTTTGGGGTTCAGGTGTTCCGGGTTTCCCAAACGAGTATGCCCCTGCCGTCCAAGTGTAAGTAAATGCCAGCTAGCCAGGAGTCCTGGCAGGATTTGGGCTTTACTGTTTGGGCACAGAATCCCAAACAGCGTCGAGGTTTGGGGCTTTTGCGCCCTCTATACCCTCAACCCTCAACCCTAAACCCCTAAACCCTAAAGCCTAAGCCCTAAACCCCTAAACCCTAAACCCTAAACCCTTGCACATCCCAAGCTCCAAAGTCAGCCTGAAACCCAGGACTTGTCACAGCTCATCCAGGGTGAGACCTTGATACCTACACCTACCTACCTGCCTACCTACCTACCGACATACATACATACATACATGCATACATACATACATACATGTATACATCCACCCATCACCATCCATCCCTTTACCCATCCTTCCACCCATCCATCCATCATCCATCCATGCAGATATACATCTGTTTATGTATGTACGCACATGTATAAGCATACACACATACATGCACAGATACG